CCCCCCCCCCCCCCCCCCAATACGCCACTGAATTCATCACCGGTCAGCCAGAGAAAATAAACAAAAAGCCGATAGTTTGGCCGAAAAAATTGGGGTGTCATCTAAGTCAATTACCTGCATCTTAATTTAAACAAAGCATATTTTAATTTAAGTCCAAAGCAGTTTACCAGTGACAAATTCAGTTTTGATACAGAAGACTGTAAACATGCTAAGATTTGCGTGCTCATTTGAATTTATTAGTATTTGAATTAAAATACAGAAATAAGAAGGCATCCCGCCTGCAATATAAAACTCCATTTCCTACAACTTTTGAGTACCCCTTTAACGCCAGAGCTGTCCTTGTAAAGTACATTAATTCACACAAGCTGCTGTAATTATAAGTTGTTGGTATTTGAGTATAATAGATGACATGTAAGAGCTATTACAACATTTATATCACCAGGCTAATAGTAAAACATTGGTGTCAAAATTTTAACACCCCTGCATTTTAAAGATTGCAGGATGTCACAAATAAGCTGCAATTTTTCTTGCCGCTGAGATATATGGGTTAGACGATAGTCCACTTAAATATATCTTTAAGTCCAAGAGTAACTTTGTCATTTGATTCTCAACTTTGATTTTTTTCTGCCAATTTTATCTTAAATTAAAGGTCTTAGCTTCTTGCCTGATGCATTCATTTAATGTATCTTCAAAACATCTAATTTTTCTTGAAACACAGCTCTAAGTTCATCGTGTGGCGTAATATTGGGATTTGGGGGCAAAAAATATTTTCGATTTCAAGATTTTCTTAGGGTCCTGAACAGCTATAAACGTGTTTTTAATGGTAGTATAACACCTGAACAAAGTAATGCAAATGGGTTCGGGTATTTTTCTTTAAAGACTTACCGTTTGATTTCATCTATAAAAACGTGATTTTTAGCCCTATTTGAGTATAGTCCCACCTTAACTAATAAATTTTAACTTAACATATATTCAAGCCAAAGCATCTTTTCGGGAAGATCTTGCAAAAGCAAAGCACCTTTCCTAAAAGTTTTTTAAAGAGTTTTGATAGGCTGTTGTAGTTCACTGGTATGTTTGAACAGTTCAGTTCAGGACGACTTTAAGTTTAGGAAGTCAGGCAGGTGGTCTGAAGCATAACATTGTTGTTGTCCTCAGACGGGAGTCCCTTCACTGTGCCCTTCTCTGCAAATCTGTTGATTAAAAAGTTGACGTCGTCAACAACGTTTACAGATGGTTGGCTGTAGAACCCAGCATCGCGCAAAACCTGCAACAAGCCCGCGACTGCACCGGCGACGTGAGGGGACGCCGTAGACGTCCCCCTGAAGGATATATAACCGTTGTTGTTTGCGTAGTCGGCGCCCCTGATGCTCTTCCCTGGAGCGTAAATATCGACGCACGATCCGATGTTACTGAAAGAAGCCAAGTAATCATCTCTCTGGGTGGCACCAACAGTGAGGGCTCCTTGTACGCTTGCAGGGGATTTATTACACGCATCACCTTTGTCGTCAATTCCAGCGCTGACTACCACCGGGATGCCTGCATCCAATACAGCGTACACTCCGTCATTGTAAGTAGAGGAGTACGGACCACTGAGTGATATATTAATGACTGACAGACGCTTGTTTTGTTGAACCCGTGACTTTATCCAGTTCAGTCCTTCCAGGATGTCCGAAGTTGAACATCCCGTCGTGCCGCATACTTTGACGGGGATGAGGGTGACATCCTTGGCTGTTCCACAGAGGACGCCTCCTAAGATACTGGCCACATGGGTACCATGACCTTGGGAGTCCTCACTATCAGAAAAACGACTTGCGTGCCAACCTGGAATAAGAACACAGGTCTTGAGAATTGTGATGAGAATTGTCCTCCTTCTGATTTTTGTTTTATGAATACCTCTCTCTCTCTCTCTCTCTCTCTCTGTCTCTCTCAAGCACACAAACACACCCACACCCGCGCCCACACACACACACACACACACACACACACGCAAATCTGCTCCCTCTCTCTCTCTCTCTCTCTTCTGTCATGTCAGTTTAATGCAACTAACCTGGCAAAACTCTTCCTTCGAAGTCACTGTGATCAGGATTTATTCCCGTGTCAATGACGTATGCGTCAATGCCAGCGCCGAATGCCCAACTTTTGAAACGGTCATCATCCGGGTAGTAGTCTATTCTGTCTAAATTCTGTTTTATAAACACGAAATTCATATCAAAATATATCTTTATTCTTGGCGTTGGCATTGGCGTTGTTGCTTAAATAATAACATGGGAAAATTATTTGACTCAGAAGAGCGACTGTATGCAGTAGTGCACTCACACAGGGCAACTATGAATCATTAAAACACACACACACACACACACACACACACACACACACGTAGAATCTCAAGAAGTACGCATGCATACATATACACATGCAATGATATTAACCCATGATGCTGCAGCCGGGAAATACCGTGTACAATGACTCAGATCTACCGACATTTCTTTAGCTTGTTCGATTTCTTCAATATCGCTGGTAAGTTGGCGAAGCAGTTGAAGGTCACTAGAAAAAATTGAAATACTTCAGTAAGATGATAACTAAATCAGATATATCAAAACAAAACATGCATATTTGAAATAAATGTATCTGAAATTTCTTCCCAAACGTACGTATCAAATAAAGTTGAACTATGATATCTGAAAAATCGTATACTGGATAAAAAGATAAAAAAATACCATTAATATTGTAAGAAATATAAGAAGAATAAAAAAACAAATATCAAATAATGAATATCATACCAAATCAAACGGTGGCTTAGTCTGAACCAATGCATTTCATCGAGTTGACAAAATTCATACCTATCATTTATATCCCTAAGAATGACGAAGCTGCTTTTTCGATTGAACTTCACGCTTTGTTGGGAACCTCTTCCTTTCAGGATGCGACGGACTGTAAATGGAATATAATTGAAACCGTACATTCTAGGTGTAACACAGGTATAGGTAGAATATTTTGATTACGAAATTAGATATTTTATAACCGATTCTCGGTATACAAAAACGACATGGCACTAATAAGTATGGCTTACTGCACCTTATAGCAGACACATGTTATTTACCACTAAGCATCAGTACGGAAATAAAACTGAATTGTACGGAATTGAATAGAATTTTGCAACAATTTCAAGTGGTGAACCTACTTCTTCCGTACTTGCCACCAGGCAGAAGACGGGCGATGTATTCATTGGGAACAGCCGTACCATCCGTGGGGGTGATAAGAGGCACTAAAAAAAGAAATGCAAATTGATAACAACTTTTGATAAATAGAAGTTATAAATATCATCGATTTGCCAAATGGACTCTATTTGAGTCATTTAAGAAACAAGAAGTAAAGGGAATCTACGCACGCTTCATATTTCTATTTAAATAAAACTTCAATTACGTACCTAGACCTTTCTCCTCGGAGATGTCTATCAGTCCTTTTGCCTTCATCATCTTTTTCATTTCTGCGGGGTTTTCCCTTTTCATGTTCTTTAGTCTTCGGTTCTTGGGAATGTTTTCCTTCTTCAACTTCAGTACTGGCGGTGTCTCTTCAGTTTCACTGGCATGTACCTTCTCTAACGCGAGAAGCATGAAAAGCGCGGAGGCAAAAAGCAAAAATTTCATGATTGTGGTTCTTCCACCAAATTGGTCGTTTAACAATTGTCGGCTGTGCAGAATGTTATCTACCTCACAAATTACGAACCGTTGGTCACTTCTTTTAACAAAGCAAACCCGAGATACGACCGAGTCCGTTAGTGCCAAAGCTTTGGAAACTGTGACTTAAATACATTTCTCAAATGTTACCTTGTTAAATTAAACAGGACGGAACGTGTGGTTATAGTACATTTAATAGTGTAAAGCAGGGCATTAAACTCGGAAGTTTCTGTTACAGCTGTTCACAGTGTTAAATATATTAACAGGCAAAGAAGATTTTGGTATCAAAATAAAATCCATCAAGTACATTCCCAATAATAATTATAATTATAGTAATAATAATAATAATAATTGATCCTTATAAAGGGTCTAACCTTATCACAAGGCCTTCTTCTGGTGCATTGAGATTATTCCCTTTCGAATTGTATGATCTACATGCAGTATAGTATATTTTAGTTACATCTTTATCTTAGTTCAAAACAACAGGAAGAATTAAACCAATAACTTGGAAAAAATTTTTTTGATGATTGTGGTAAAAGTGTTGTGCACGGACCGGTATATAAGACCCCATTCCCATACATTTTAGATCGATTTATCCCTGTGGGGAATCTCACTAGATTACTGTCAGCTTAGCCGGCTTTTAAGCGTCTGTCCCGCTTACTAAAAGCTGTAAGGGGGTAAATAACTATGGTGTGCGCTCGGCTGACTGATATTTAGCGTGAACCCCCAGGGAGTTAGGTCGATCTAAATCTAAATCTCTGGATCGACCTAAATCTCTGTGAATGCACCCTAAAATCCACTCGCTGGGGCAAGGGAATTTTTGTGGGTTTTATGTACAATCTGTGACACATGTATTACACAACGCAAATTTATTTGAACTTGTCCGATTGATGATGAATTTGGTTCTTACTTGAAAAATTTGATTTAAAAAACAGCTGTTGTTTACTCAGGATAATTCTGTGGTAGATCGGGTAAGTAATGTGACTTTCTATCGAAATCATTAGCTACTTCATTATTTCTTACTACATTCTGCTATGGTGCTGATAGAAGACAGTTATTAATCTAACCTACGTGTTCTTTTCATATAGAATCTTAATTAGTTTTCAATTTAATTGTATTTAGTGTGTAGATGTGTGTTTGTGTATGTTATTGGGTGCGTGTTGTGTGTGCTTGTATATGTCTGTGTAAGCTAGAACTCTTATCTTGGTTTGGTTCTTAACTGTTTCATCATATTCGTTGTTATGGTACTTAGGGACAAATGGCAACCAATTGAAATTCGAGACTTCCACAAACACTTGTACAGCCCAATTATTGAAAGTCGCATAGACAGGAAGTTAGACAGCGTCACACACAGAATGGACATGGAGCCAAGACCTACGCCCGGTAGCCAAATAACAGAATGCAAACTTCCCAAACTTGAGCAGAGTTAGTGTATTTATTTGTATCTTGCACTGAAAAGCCATTCACTGTTGCCAACGGCCACTTTCCCTGAGTATCTTTCGAACATAGAAAAAAAGGCTGATGCAACAAACACGAAGAACTTAAATAAATATGAAAAATTAGAATTTAAGTTATGCAACTGCTATTGCACTGATTCAATATTATCCACCATTGAACAACTCATTGCATGCCCGCATTTTATAAGTAAATACGACAAATGAGGATTTAAGGTATAATTTTGTAACTTCTATTGCAATGATTTACTTTCATCCACCATTGAACCACTTATTACTTTGTTGCATTTTCACCTGAATAACCAGATGCAACTACCATCTGGTTAAAGCTACCGCTATTTTAAGCAATGACAGTTCGTAATTCCATTCCTTGCAAATCTTGGAATATCTCGCGGCACTTGTTGTACTAGCAAACCAATGATTAACACTGGAAATGACGCTTTCGCGTGTTAAAACGAGTTCTAGGTCATCTTCACTCGGATCCATAGTTCGTTGCGGACCAGCTTGTCAACGAGGGCATGTTTTGCACTGTATCCCAATGAGGCTTTAGCGTTGCCCCCATTAACGCATGCGCAGACAGGGAACTAGGTCTTTTTTCCTTTCCGGGTCACGTCAGTCATGCGCATATTTTGGGTTACATTTACATACCTGTTTTAGAACCATACAACCAGATTACGCAGGCGAGTTTATTGATTTAGAGGGTACAGCTTGCTTTAAACGACCAAAGGCCTTTACTGATACAAGCAGCGAAATTTCGACTGCACCTCAAGTAAAGAAATGTTGTACATTTAATACATATTTCGAGAAACTCTCAAGAGGACATGTGGTCACAACAAAAACAATGTCAAGAAATCATCAGAATGTCTCAGGTACAAGAATAACACAAGGACATTTCATTTCACCAAATATCAAATATGTCCTTCTTCACAAAAAGAAAACAAAAAAGATTTAATTGATTTATCTTCCCTCCTAATTGATAAATTGTTAAGTAAAATCGTTTATGTACTTGAACTAACGCCGAACGAGTAAGTCATTTTATAATCGTAATAATTAATTGTTACTAAACAACAAAGTCATTTTTAATCGCAACGTTTAACTGTTACTAGTAAACAACAGCTCACGGACTTGTAAAATACAAAGACGTTAAAAAGAGAAATTGAAGTGCAGTCTAGATTTGCCCTTAGTTTCATGATTCTCTCACCAGTGAGCAATGCATTTCTCTTGTAGAAAAAATAAAATGTTCTAAATTAAAAAGATTGATTTTACATCAGCACATTTATCACTGCGACAAGGTCAATTGTCACTCTTTTAAGAGCTTTGTGACATTTACTTATATTGTTTTATATCAAAAACATCATTGGAGCAATATGCACCGTAAAACGTACTTTGGCGTCGATGGCATTAAGTTCTAAATCTCCATCTAAGCAAATTCTTCAATACACTCTCTTTTCTTTTCTACGCTTATATAACGAGTACTTTCTGCATTCTTTGATAATTATAAGAACGTGTGCTTTACAGTACGACTCAAATTTAGTTGACATGCCAAGGGAAAACAGTTTTAATCACTCGATTAGCCATATTACTCCTGTTTTTCTCTGCCCTTCTTAAATATGGACCAGAAAGTAAGCAGAAAATAAAAGTTCATATATCATTTTTCGGGTAATATGCAACGGTGTAGTTTGGTGTTTCTCTAAGTCATGCAATTTGAAACAAAATAGTTCCCTTTGATCTTCTTTTATGGCAAATATTCGTCTTCAAATGCATTTCAAATAATTGTAGTTATTTAATGAACGTGTGGTCGAAAGAAATGTCATCTAGCTTTCTGCAATATCTGCACCTTTTTGTGATTTTAAATTTCGATGTTTCACAACAAACTTGTATGTATTTAACAAATTGTTTATATCATTATCATTTAATGACTTCCAATTGCCAAACATAATTCAATGTCGTTATAAAGAAAAAAAAAAGTTAAACACACAGCCCTTTGCGTGCATTCTTTAATTTATTAGCGTTTGAATAACAAGACAGAGAGAAAATGGTGTGCTATATTAAACTCACATTTAATTTCACAAGTGGGAAATCGCTTTTGATAGATAGAAGCTCTTCAATCTTGTAGTTATTCCCGTGATGATAGATTAATCCAAACAGACCGCTGTGCTAAAAGGTTGTGGATATTCGTGAATAATAGATGACAGGCAAAAGTTTTAGCACCATCGATATCAACCCGCACCCTTTGAATACCTGATTTCAAACTTAAGCATCTAGTTATAAATATTGTAGACTGCCACAAATTTGCTGTATTATTCATGATGCAGTGGAATATCTTGTGAAGACAATAGTTCACTGAAACTA